TTGAGAATTTCGAATAGTGTATTTCAATCATATCACCCCTCTTTCCTCAACTCTTTCCAGAACTATCAATAGCAAGGGCTGGGACTTCATCCCCTCTCTAGGCTGGGATTCGGTCTGACTTGAGCTTGTCCATGCCGTCACAACTGTTGCTGTTCTTTATTTAAGATAACTAGGGCCAGGGGAAACACAAACCATAGAATGTACATTAACCATAGAGTTTATTAAAGTGGGGGAGGGGGAGGGGCACTAAGAGGGTAAGAGAGAGAGAAGGGAGAAGAGAGGGTGGGGGAGTAATCACGCGGAGGAGCTCGCTTAAAAGGGGAAGCTTGCACATGCGTACTGAGTCCTTACGCAGCCCCATTTAACAGGGACATGGCCACGCCACTGTTGTCAGGGGGCGGGGTCAACATGGTGCTGCTTGCAGACTAGTATTCATGGAACCCTGGGCTGACCAGAGTACTGCCTGAGTGCATTCTGCCAGGTAACAGGGGCAGGCCAGCATAATGCCTGAACCTTTCAACTGTTGTATGAGTCCTGTTGTGAAAAAACTCTAAACACTCAGGATGCTACACTTAGGGTGACTTCCCACCAAGGCAAAGAAAGGGTGCGGCAGCTAGTAGGCTATAGTCCACTGTGGAGCAGAGGACTGCAGGGTGGACCCAGCAGAGGAACCTGCTCGCACATGCAGAGTGTAAACCTCATGAGGGAAGGGCTTATGTTTCTCTCTTTTTCATGCCCTGTCTCTAGTGCCTAGAGTCAAGTTTGACACATAGTAGTTCCCAATAAAAAGTTGTTGGAATGCGTAAATAAAAGCCCCAATAGGGGTTATGATCTGCCCACATTGCTTGACATGTGGGTTTGAGCCAGGTCATCTGGCTGTCAGGGCAAAATGCAACCTCGCAGGGCTGGAGATGTGAGTTTGGTTTTCCTCTGGCTGCCTGGAATACTGTCAGTTTTAGCTGTGATCTGTGTGGGATTGCCATGTGTGATGCCTGTGTGTTCGGATTTACTCTCTGTGGATAAGCAACATGTATCATTACCATGATAGAAAGCTCTTTTTTTTTTTCTCTTGGTTTTTGAGACAAGGTTTCTTTGTGTAACAGCCCTCCCTGGTTTGCTGGAACTTGCTCTGTAGACCTGGCTGGCATTGACTCCACCTGCCTTTGCTTCCCAATTAAAAAAATATTTATTTCCTTTTATTTTATATGCATTGGTGTTTTGCCCACATGTCTGTCTGTGTGAGGGTGTCACATCTTGGAGTTACAGACAGTTGTGAGCTGCCATGTGGGTGCTGGGAATTGAACCCCGGGTCCTCTGGAAGAGCAGCCAGTGCTCTCAACCTCTGAGCCATCTCTCCAGCCCTAGGAAGGTCTTGAGAATCTTTAATCACTTCCTTAGTGGGATCCCAGTGGCAAATGGATCTGGGACTGTTTGTTATCACATTTCCTGTGTAACTCTATTAAATCAGTGTCACTGAGGTGGTGCACCTACAGTAGGCATGGGTTGGGGGTGTTTGAAAGCATTTTATTCTGAGGTTTGTGCTTCCACCTGAGTCATTTAGCTTGAGGGGAATGAGGAGATGCAGGAAAGGAGGGCTTTGGTTCAGAGATGACCATGGTGAGAAGGAGTAGCAGTCTCAGGATGGAGTGGCCTTCAGAGTTGAAGACTGAAGCTTGGATGGCAACGCCTTATGGAGTCCTGATTGCTTCCACCACAGCAGTGTTTGAGGTGATCCTCGGTGATAAGGAAGCTGTGACCATCCTACATACAGATAAAGTGTGAAAAGTGTCCCTGAAAGTGTCTACTAAGGTTAAGATATTTTGACAATCTTGGTGGGGCTGGGATGGGAGCGTCTATTCTGAGAAGGCCAAACTATGTTGAATATAATCACATGGCTTCACAAAGACGATAAAAGGGGCTCTGGGGGCTGGAGAAATGGCTCAGCAGTTAAAAAGCACTGACTGCTCTTCCAGAGGTCCTGAGTTCAATTCCCAGCAACCACACGGCGGCTCACAGCCATCCATCATGAGATCTGGTGCCCTCTGCTGGCCTGCAGGCATACCTGCAGGCGGAATGCTGTGTACATAATAAATAGATCTTAGAAAAATAGGTATGTATGCTGTATCACTGTGGCCTATGATTTAAAATAAGAAAGGTGTTTGGTCTTCTTTTTTAAATTGCCATAATAAAACACCACATCCAACATCAACCTGGGGAGGAGGGAGTTATACTTGGCTTAACACTTCCCAGTCGCAGACCATTATGAAGGGAGGGTCAGGCAGGCACTCAAGGCAGGAATCTGGAGGCAGGAACTGATGCGGAAGCTACGGAGGAACGCTGCTTACTGCCTCGCTCACTCATGGCTTGTTCAGACTGCTTTCTTATACGACGCGGGAGCTAGGCCCGCCCACGTCAATCATTCATTAAGAAAATGCCTCACCGATTTGGCTACAGGCCAATCTGATGGAGACAGTTCCCAGGCGAGATCCCCTCCTCTCTGATAATGTCTAGACTTGTGTCAAATTGACAAAAACTAGCAAGCACCGAAGATCGCGCATCTCTAGATCCCTTGAGCATCCACGAGGACAGAAATAAGACAGTCGTATACATTGCTGGGGCTCATCTCCAAGTGCCCAGCTGAGTGACAGCTGCACAATTAACACTGAATAATAGCAGCCCTTAAGAGCCTATCTGCTTATGAACGACTGTACAGAGACAGTTCTGGAAAGCCAGAATGAAGAGCCTGCGGAAGGTCAGCGTACGAACACATTAGCACAAAGCACACAGCTGACACTTCTCTTTTGTAGTGTGTAGGAAAAGATCTATGTAAATGGGCGTGGCCAAAAGTATGTAGAACATATGGGGGGGGGTAAAAGTGCTAGGGGAAGGAGACTCTCTCTTTTTTGGGTTCTGGTTGCATTCCAGTAGCGTCCTGGAGAGCCGCGTGCAGACCATTGGTTCTAGACTTTCTTGGCTTCCCACATAAGTGATTTCTCCATTAATAAAATATCTTAGCACATCCCTGTTTTGTGTAGCATAATATTTTAGCAATAGTAGTGATAGCAGGATGCAGGCATTCACATCTCTAGAGCTGCAACAGGCACAGCCATGGCCCTGTTGTTCAGCTGTCTGAAACTTGAGAGCGTAGTGGCTACTGAGGTTCGTTGTGGTTTGAGTGGCTCCTGGTTTTGAAGTAGTGATGCTACTTTGGAGGTTGAACTTTTGGGACGGTGGTCTAGCCGGCTGATGAGGGTTGGTGGGGGTGGACCGTGAAGGGAGTGGGCCGTGAAGGGAGTGGGCCGTGAAGGGAGTGGGCTGTGAAGGGGGTGGACCGTGAAGGGGGTGGACCGTGAAGGGGGTGGACCGTGAAGGTGCTACGTCTGCTTTCTCATTTAGGCTGAGTGCTCTGCTTCCTGTGTCCTGACATGGGTGAAGTAACTTAGGGGATTCCCAGCTATGGAGTAACAGAAACTTCTCCTGCATTCCATTGCTCCCATCACAGCAATGAACAAACAACATCACAGAGCCCCCTGAAGAAACGGAAATGCCAGTGCATAACGGAGAAGGTAACACTGAGTAATTTTGTGTATTTACTCTGTGCCTGGCCCAGTCCAAAGGATCTTTTGACATTTTCTCCATCCCAGGTCCCCGTCCCAGTTCAGAAAGTAGATGAGTTGGGCCAAGGAATTTCATTTTCATCTTGTGACGTTCAACCTAATGATATTTGGATGTTTGGTTCAGTTAGCTGCGACCCTTGTGTGATTTCGTGGATCATTATCGTTCTTGCCTATCTTCAGATTGGCTGAAAATTGATCATTGGGCCACAAATGCCTTCAATCAGGTTGTCAGTAAGAACCTGAACTAGTTAGGGACAAGAACATAGCTCTTCTGAATGCAGAGAGGCTTTTTAGAAATCATTTCCGGATGGCGGTGGTGGCGCACGCCTTTGATCCCAGCACTCGGGAGGCAGAGGCAGGCGGATCTCTGAGTTCGAGGCCAGCCTGGTCTGCAGAGCTAGTTCCAGAACAGCCTCCAAAACAATACAGAGAAACCCTGTCTCGAAAAACCAAAACCAAAACCAAAACAAAACCAAACAAACAAAAAACAAAAAAATCATTTCCTGGGGCTATTTTAATCAGTAAATTTGGCATTCATTAGTCTTGGTTGCTATGGTTTAGATAATACATGTCCTCCAGAAGGCTATTTAAAAGATGTGGTAGAATTATGGCACTCTTGGTGGTAGAAATTCCAAAAGGTGTAGCCTAACAGAAGGAAGTCATAGGACGGGAGCATGCTGGCTGGCTTTTATCTCTTTGCTTCCTGACCGGCAGAGGGAAGGAATTTCTTCATCACAAGTTCTGCCATGACGGGTCTCACCACAGGTCCAGATCAACAATGCCACCTGGACATGAACTGGAACCATGAGCTAAGGATAAACCTTTACTTATTTTAAATGGTTTATCTCCGGTATTTTGCACCAATAATAGGAAGCTGACTATCACAGGCTCTGCCTACATTGAGAACAGTCTCTGCTTATCTGTCTTCCACACACGCGATATCCACGTGAGACACCATGGTTGCTGTGATGCAGATTTGTATTAATAGCAACTAGTGATTCCCTCCTCATTGTTAACCTTAGAAAAAGGTAATTTGCATATTTATAATTCCTACCATACTACTAATCTTAGAAAACTATTTAAAGAAATATTAAGTTGCCGGGAGTTGGTGGCGCACACCTTTAATCCCAGCACTCGGGAGGCAGAGGCAGGTGGATCTCTGTGAGTTCGAGGCCAGCCTGGCCTACAAGAGCTAGTTCCAGGACAGTCTCCAAAGCCACAGAGAAACCTTGTCTCGAAAAACAAAACAAAACAAAAAAAAAAGAAATATTAAGTTTAGGGAAAATTTTTTATGATCACATTCCCCCTACTTTCTGAGTGCGAACTATACTCCAAACAATCCATCTAGACTCCCCCTAAAGTCCACAGTGGTCTTACCTGCCACTCACTTTAGCTTGTACAATTCATATCCTTGCCTTGGTTGAAAATTGTGTGTGGGGGCAGACAGAAATGTTCTTCGGGTCTGACAGATCTACTTTCTGTGGGACATCACTGACGATCTCGGAAAAATTCAGAGAAGGGAGGAAACCCGGAAAACACATTTCAAGGTGTTGTGTTAATAGGTCAGATCATATAGCCACCATATTGTTTCTCTTTAATATGTTCAGAACACCCTCCTCTGCATTTAGCGACAAGAGCAGGCTTCCAGTCCGTTAGGATGTGTAGGTGTGTACAGTTGCTTGCTTACTGCTGGCGCTCCTCCCTCCCGTTAGATGCTTATTCATGATAGCTCAATTTATTGAACTTGGCACCGCTCATATGCTCTCTTGCATGCAAGTCATGGGGCTCTCAGTACCGCTTTCATGGTTGCCATTGCCTAGAAACTTAAGACTATCTGAAAAGAAAAAGATTCCAACTGTTAGTCTTCCAAAGCTTTTCATTTCGATCCTTTATTATTTTAGAAGCCAGAAGGCCCAAGGGAGGCTCAATTCTTCACTCAGCTTCTGTTCAGCTAAGTACATCCAGGAGCTGCTTATCATCCTGAGAATTGGCAGCATGGACACTAGGTCTGCAGGGTGGCCAAGACCTCTGTCTCCTACAGTATATGATGCTTTAATTTACATCCTGCCAAGGAGAGAGGTCCTGTTCTTTAGAGTCCAGGAGTCGGGGGTCAGGAAAGGACTGTGCAGCCCATTTCTAGAGCAATGATTAAACTAACTACCCAACTCTGGAATGTTTAGCATTATTTGGGTTGCTTCTTTCAACACCTAAGTATTTCTTCCTTTCTCTTTTAATATTTGTTTGTTTTTATTTTATGTGATGTGTGTTTGCCTTCATGTATACATATGTACCATGGGTGTACCCGGTGACCTTGGAGGTCAGAAGAGGGTGTTGGATCCCTTGGGTCTGGAGTTACTGATGGGTGCTAGGAATCAAAGACCTGTTCTTTGCAAGAACAGCCCGTGCTCTTAACTGCTGAGCCACCTCTCCTGCCCCAGAGTTTCTTATATTGTGGCACAGATGTTTGTGGAGAGTTGGTACAAATTGGTTTGTCGACTGAGTTATTTTTTAAAAGAGCTCTGGTGACTTAGTAGTTGAAAGCATGCCATTAAGAACATACTTTTGCAATAAAAAAGAATAATAGTGTATCTTCTGGGAAAATATGGATTTAAAAATTTTTCCTAAAGTAGATTTTTTTCAACCAAGTCTTGTCTCTGCCTTTTTAAGATCGACCGCGGGAACAATGGAACACTCTGGAAGGCAAAATTTCAGGGCCAGATTCTGTGACATCTGACATTTGGCATCCATTTGGTATTGATGGCAGTGTCTTAGAGAAATATTGCTTTATCTTTGAGAAAATATGCATCATAATTATAGCTCCCTAAAATAGCTATTGACTTTTCTTACTTTCTTTTTTTTTTTTTTTTTTGGTTTGTTTACTTGAGCCAGGACCTCACTGTGTGGTGAAGGTTAATTTATAATCCTAGATCTTCCTGCTTCAGACTCCTGGCTATTAGAATTATAGGTATACATCACTTTCCCAGTAGTAATTATTTAAAAAAACTTACCTTGTTAAATACCTTGTAGTATTGTAAATACTACACCTGAAGTGAACATTCGGCCTTGTCTGTGTAGCTTGGTTAGAGATGTGATGTTATGCCAAGGAAGAAATACATCTGGTATGGTCAAGTCGCAAGTGCATAAAACTCTAAAATTTAGAAGAAACAAATTTGAATTTTAAGGAGTAATTTGAATGTGCCATGCTTCTTTGCTCAGACATCAACTGTCCTCAGCCCCGGATAGGCATTAGAACCACAGAGGAGCTTTTAAAAACCAATGATGCCTGAGTCCCAGTACCTACCCGGCAACTCACAACCATCAGTAATTCAAGTTTGGGGGGGGGTATCTGATGTCCTTTTCTGACCTCCATGGGCGGCAGGAGCACGTGTAGCACACATACATGCACACAGGCAAAGTATTATACGCAAAAAATAAAAATAAACACATCTTTCAAAAAGAAATTGACTAGATGCTATGTTGACAAAAGCAATAACAACACAAGACCTCTACAGCCCATTCTAATGGATGCCCAGCCTGGAACCACTTCAAACCCTACGACTTCAAATGTGCTCTATCTGCACTGCAGCATAAGCCTCACCTGTAACGTGCTACTCTTGGCTTCACACGCTGTCCCTGAAGCCTACACTTTATCTCTAGGAGAGTTATTGGTGGTACAATTTTCATAGCCCTGAGGCTGACACTGCTAAAGTTATGAAGATACTTGGAAGTGTGAATAGGGCTTGGCTTTTCTTTCAAAAGCATTGCTGAAGGGAGGGTGGAGGTGGAGGGATTCAGCTCCATGGCGCGGTTTGAGACTTTTGAGGTTTGAACAGTTGTGCTAGAGAGCTGCCTTCGGTCTTCTAGGATAAGAAGTCCCCCCTCCCCCGTCCCCTTTCTATCCATTTTCATTCAGGGAGAGGGACTTGAGTACTTGAAGCAGAAAAGGTGGTAGGGTTCTGCTTCCCACAGCCTGGTTCTTGAGTCATCAACGTCAGCATCATTAACATCAGCATCAGTGGCCGGGCGTTGGTGGCGCACGCCTTTAATCCCAGCACTCGGGAGGCAGAGGCAGGCGGATCTCTGTGAGTTCGAGACCAGCCTAGACTACCAAGCGAGTTCCAGTACAGCCTCCAAAGCCACAGAGAAACCCTGTCTCAAAAAACCAAAAAAAAAAACAAAACAAAACCAAAAACCAAAACCCCCCCCAAAAAAAACCATCAGCATCAGTATCAGTATCAACATCAGCATCATTAGCATCAGCATCAGTATCAGTATCAACGCCAGCATCATTAGCATCAGCATCAGTATCAGTATCAACATCAGCATCATTAGCATCAGCATCAGTATCAGTATCAACGTCAGCATCATTAGCATCAGCATCAGTATCAGTATCAACATCAGCATCATTAGCATCAGCATCAGTATCAGTATCAACGTCAGCATCATTAGCATCAGCATCAGTATCAGTATCAACGTCAGCATCATTAGCATCAGCATCAGTATCAGTATCAACGTCAGCATCATTAGCATCAGCATCAGTATCAGTATCAACGTCAGCATCATTAGCATCAGCATCAGTATCAGTATCAACGTCAGCATCATTAGCATCAGCATGAGCTTCAGTCTCAACATCAGCATCAGCATCACTGTCATCGGCATCAGCATCATTAGAATCATCATCATTAGCATGGGAACTAGTTAAAATGCCAATTTGGGGCCCATTCTAGACTTAGTGAATCAAGCTTCAAGGATAGGAACTAGCCACTGATTTTTTTTTAAACAAGCATATCCTGGGATTATGATATATACTCACTTAAGAATGGTGAGTGTGAACACTTTCCATGAAGAGGAGATAGGAAGTGGAATTGCAGGCCACTAGACAAGTGTGACCCTTACTTGCAGCATTTGTGGGGATCATGAAGTTGTAAACACTGTGCAGACTCTATTAAGAAATTCCAAACAGTTTAGCTCTGACTCGTGTTCCTTTACTGTTTCAGGAGCATGATTCTTTCCTTGTTTGGGTCATTTGGTCCATAATAATATTGATGGAGAAAGCTTTAGGTTGGGTGGTATGGTATGTGTGCTTGTTTCCTTGAAATACATTTTGCAGTTGTCTGAGAACTTTTTATTACTAGCATATATAATCATAATTGTAAAATTTCAGTACAGTGCATGGAAAGTCATTTGCTTTTAAAGGAATATGCTTTAGATTGCCTTTATCAATGCAGAGTAAATTTATAGAATCTATAACCCTGTTGGATAGGATAGGACTAAGATCATGTCTAAGCAGTGGTTTTAATAATGTCAGCTCCTCCTTTTAAACCGTTCTTGGCCTAACTGTTAGTGAAGAGCAAACCAGTGCATTTTCTTTTCGTCTTCCTTTCTATTCTCAAGTTGAAGTGCTAATTAGTACCTTGGAGGGAAGATAGAGGTCACTGAAGAGAGGAAAGGCCTGGGCAATGAACAGTGCAACAGAGCTCAAGGTGAATTCCCACTGACAGCGGTAAGACGTCTCAGAGATTGAATGATTCATCTCTCTCACACCACAGGGCTTTGAGAGTTCAGATGAGGTGTTTAAGGTCACATTGCTAATGAGGGAGACGAAACCAGAAGCCATATTTCAAAACTCCTTGGGGAGTGCTTTTCCTATTATACCACAGTCACAAAACACACATGGACCAAGTCAATGTTGGGGAAACACAGTCTCTGTGAGCTGATGTAGAACATGGTCATTGATTTCTTTTCTTTTTTCTGTCTCTAATGGACTAGCAATAGACAAAGTGTCATTAAATTTGCTGACATTACTATATATACCGGTTGCTTCTTAAATCACTTTTGGAATGAGTTAGCATGGGAATAGATGATAAAAAGTAAAATATAAAATGAGTCAGTCCTACTGCTGGCTTTTCTACTGATGCCCAGGTTATCTATTTTAATAAATTCTTGATCAAATTTGTTTTGACATGCTATATAGGTTTTAAAAACAATTATGTCCCAAATTGTGTATTATCTCCCCAAACTTACCTCCCACACCCCTACAGTCAATCACTGTTCACTTAGAACCCTGAGGAATATTCTCATCTCTTCTTTTTCCTCTCATCCCATGTGTCGGCTCAGTCATTAACTTGATCTGTGTTACCTCTTTTCAATTACAGCTCTAAGGTTTCAGATCCAGTACCTCTTCACCACTCACATTTCCATTGTTTTAATTTGATCTACTATTTGCTCTAACCCAATCTATTGTTTCAGATTCCTTCCTGTGGTGGTTAGAATGAAAATGTTTCACATAGACTCATGTGTTTAAACACTTGGACTTTAGTTAGTGGAACTATTTAGGAAGGATTAGTAGCTGTGACCTTGGTGAAAGAGGCATATCACTGGGAAGAAGACTTTGAGGTTTCAAAAGCCCCTTCCAGGCCCAGTCTCTTCTCCCTGCCCACCTCTGCTTACCTGTGGATCTGGAAGGATATATAAGCTCTTAACCTCATGGCTACTTGCCTGCCTCTATGCTTCCTGCTATAATGATAATGGACTAATCCTCTGAAACTGTAAGCAAGCCTCCAATTAAATTCTGCATTTCCTAAGAGTTGCCTTGGTCAAGATGTCTCTTCATATGAATAGCACAGTAACTAAGAGAAAAGTTGGTACCGAGGACTGGGATGTTTCTGTCACAGGCACCATGCCATTTGTTGGAGACTTTGAGATTTTGGACTAAAAAAGTGGCTGAATGCTTTAAGCAGGGCTAAATGGGCCATCCTAGAAGACAGTGTGCTGAGAACAATTTATACTATGGAGACCTAGTTCAAGACGTTTCAGAGGGGAAGAAGATTAGCAGCTGGCCTAGAGACCATTCTTGTGGTACATTGGTGAAAAATGTGGCTCTTTTTGCCCTTGTCCTGAGAATCTGCCTGAGGGTAAACTGAATATTTTGCATTAATGTCATTGGCAGAGGAGATTTCAAGACATCCTAGTATTGACTGTCACATGGTTATTAGTTATCACTCTTATGTATATCTACAATGAAAAGGAGCAAACAGGGAGTAGGAGTAGGAGAAGAGAGACACAAAATGTATAGTTTCAGAAGAAAAGGAGAACTAGGAGATATAGTGGAGTCCTGTGCTCAAGGAGGTAAAACATTTAAAGAAAAGCCTGATGTTAAATGGAATAAAGGGAGTGGTGATCTCAGGTCAAGACCCCACTCAGCTGAGCATCTGACTTCAGAAAAGGAATTAAAGAATAGCCTAAGCAGCAAAGGAGTCCATCAACAAGTCAAAGCTGATGTAAATGTACTTCAAGGAGGGGGAGGTTCCAGCCCCAGCAGAACTGGACAGCTTTGTCCATGTAGTTTTGCATTTAGAGTGAAGAAGGATACAGGAAATGGGTTGTGGAATCTTCTTCCACTGTTAAGGAAATCTGCTGAGGCCAGGACTGTATTAGGGCTGTGCCTGAAAGGAGGCTGGGAGAGACCATTGTATGAAGCTGTGAAGATAAAGTTTGGATTGTGCTGGAGACCCCAGAGTCAAGGGATACTTGCCAAGGAAAGCTGCAGACAGGGCCTGGAGCCAGTCCAGGAGAGAGAAGCATGTTGCAGTCAGCAAAGCTGGAGGGGAAGATCCTCAAATAAACCCTTAACATCCAATATAGAGTTGTAAAATTTGGAGTTTGCTCTGCTGTGTTTCATTCTTGATTTGGTTCATTGTTACCTCATTATCTCCATTTCCTCTCTTTTGGAATGGTAATGCATATGCTGTTGTATGTTGGAAGTATATAATCTTATTTTTGATTTTGATATAGGGGCTCACAATTAAGAGAATTTCCTTGAGTCTCAGAAGAGACTTTGGACTTTCGAACATTGTTAAGACTGTAAAAAGACTATGGAGATTTTAAAGTTGGATTAACTGCATTTGTATTACGATATGGCTGCAAGCTCTTGGGGAGAGGGAGTGAATGTGGTGGCTTGAATGAGGGCGGCCTCCATAGTCTCATATGTTTGAATGCTTGGTCCCTGGTTAGTGGAACTATTTGGGAAGGATTAGGAGATGTGACTTTGTTGGAGGAGGCATGTCACTGGGAGAGGGATTTGAAGTTTCAAAAGCCCATGCTAGGCCCACTCTCTCTGCCTGCCTCATGTGGGCCAGGATGTAGCTCTCAGACTCATGTCTACCTGCCTGCCTCCATGCTTCCTGCCATGATGAGAATGGATTAACACTCTGAACTGTAAGTCGCCTCCAATTAAATGCTTTCTTTTGTGAGAGTGCCTTGGGCATGGTGTCTCTTTACAGCAGTAGAACAATCTCGGGATGGTCCTAGGACACTTCTTGTTTACTTTTTAAAAATTTCTGCTTCTAGGCTCACCATTAGAAATTCCTCTTTTGTCCTGTTTCCAAAGCGATCATTCTAAAGTATAAAGAATACCACACCACAATCTGTGGTTAAACCTTAAAACAATTCTCCATGGCTAACAGGATAAAACTTCAGCGTGGCGCACATACCTTCTGTCATGTGATCTCTGCTTGCCATCTCTGGTTGTTCTTTTCTACACAGCCGTGCTCTAGCAAGAGGAGACAAATGTGCTCCCTACTAATTTCTTTTTCTCCCCAAGACTCTGTTCATTCAGCACAACACAGACACTGCCTTGTTAGAGACAATGCTTTTGACATCTGGCTACTTTCCTCTGTACCTACTATGGCAGTTCAGTGGGAAATATCCCCCATCGGTTCATAAATTTAAACACTTGATTCTAAGTTAGACATGATGTTTTGGGAGACAGTACAGTCTTGCTGGATGAAGTGTGTCCCTGGGGGTGAGATTTGAGAGTTTGTAGCCTCACCCCACCATCATTTTCTCTCTCTGTTTTGTATTTGCAGTTGGAGGTGTGATCTCTCAGCCTCCTGCTCACCTGCTGTCATGACACCATGCTGCTAGACTCAGGCTCTCTGGAACTTCAAGTCAAAATAAACCCTTGTGTCTACAAGTGGCTTTTGGTCATGGTGTTTTATCACAGCAATAGAAAGGCAACTCTTAAACCTAGAGCGAATTCTTGTCTCTGGGTTGCACACTCATAGTATCTCCCTGATGTTTTATTATGAGAGATTTCAAGTGAACAGGGGGTCTGGAAGAATTTTGAATTTTGTAGTGATTTTATAACTACCATGTTGCTGTGCTCCCTTCATTATCTCTCTGGATCCATCAATCATCTTTCGAAGTCAGTTGCAGGTAACAACATGCATTGCTTCTGATACCTCAGAATTTCTATAATTCAGAGCTCAATTTTGTCCCTCTTTTAATTGTTATTTAAAACAAATAAATATTGAAATGTACAAATACCAAGTTGCTATGCAGTTCACTATATTTACACCACAAGTAACCCACGTACCAGTCAAGATGCAGAAAATTACCATCAGATTGGAAAAGGTCACTTGTGCCTCCTCCCAGGCACAAGTTTTTTATTTCTTTCTCCTAAAGTTCTTACAGTTGCCTGTTATTCAACTTCATATAAATAGAATTGTGTAGCATGTACTCTTATGTAAGACTTCTATTACTGAAAATGATTTTGATACATGCATTTTGTATTATTTGTATACATCCATTAAAGTCATTATTGAGTAATAAATACATTATGAATATTCTTATATAAGCCTTTTGTGGGAATATTTCTCTTTTCCCCATCTCTCTACCTGTTTGGCTAAATGCTTGGGTAGGAATTTTTAGTCATGTTTATATAAATTGCTCCTAAACTTTTACCTAAGATGGTTAGACTATTTACAATCTCACCAAAAAATGTGTTATTTTATATCATCAACATTTGGTGTAATAGATCTCATTTTTTAACCAGTAATAACAGAAAGTAAGGCATCAAATGGATATGTATGCACTGAGCTCCATAGTAATGTTATTTGCAATGCTAAAAAGTAACACAAGTCAGTTGATCATTGACAGGTCGATGGATAGGCAAGAGGTCCATCACACAGTGGATATTGGATATCAGCCTTGCAAAGAAGGGAATTCTTGCACATATTACATGCATGAATAACCTAGCACATATTATGACATGCTTGAATGATAGCCTGAGTATCTCAGTGGAGAACCATTTCCTTGAGAGAGAGAGAGAGAGAGAGAGAGAGAGACAAAGAGACAGAGAGAGAGAGACAGAAAGAGAGAGAGACAGAGACAGAGAGACAGACAGAGAGAGACAGAGAGAGACAGAAAGAGAGAGAGACAGAGAGAGAGAGAAAGTAAAGCCTTTTGTTGTTTATTTAGTTAGTATGTGTATTTTTCTTTTACCTTAAGTGGCTTCAAATTCATTTTAGAAAATGTGTAGATTCTATAAAACTATTAAATTCACAGAGGAGATAGTGCAAACTTTCTCCATCTCATGTGGTTTTGATTCCTCACACACACACACTTTAGCAGTTGTCCTGGTTTGCTTTATGTTGCTGTGATAAAGCACTAGCCAAAAACAACCTGTGGTAAATGTTTGTTTCTGCTTACTGCTTACAGGCTCCACCGTCAACTGAACCCAACGGTAAGAGCTGAAGCAGAAACAAGGAGGAATGCTACTTACTGACTTGCTCCCCCTTGGCTTGCTCAACTATCTTTCCTATACAGCATAGCCACCTGCCTAGGAATGGTGCCACCTACTGTGGACTGGGCCTTCCCACATCAATCAGAAATTTAAAGTCCCGCCCACAGACATGCCTACAGGCCAATCTGTTGGAGGCAAGTCCTCAACTGAGGTTCTCTCTCTCCAGGTGTATCAAGTTGACAACTTGAGCTTATTATAATAAAACTATTACACACTTGTCCTTTCTCTTTTTTGGAACGGGAAAGAAATTAGCCCAGGAGGGTGGAAAAGCATTCCAGCTCATTTCGTTTTATTACCTTTATAGACCCCAAGAGGAAGATGACTGATTTTACTTCATAGCAGAATTCACTGCAGAAATTTCCATGGACTGGTAAAAATGCAAACAAACAATCAATCAAACAAACAAAACCACCCTTTAATCATGTCTTTCTTTCTTTTCGTTTTTTTCACCAATGTCAACATATTCTTTATCTGACAAAAATTCTTGTGTAACGCCTTCTCCCATAATCTCCCGTTTTGTCTTTTCTTCCCTTCTTCTCTTTCCTGATCTCCTTTCTATGCAATTATTCAGATTCTTGCCGAGTTTTTGACAAGCTTAGGCCCATTACATTCTATGACCTTGGTCCTGGGAGTGAAGTGATTAGGACAAAAATGAAAACTGGAAATTTAACCTCTGGGTATTCGAAAATAACTCAGTTTTATCTCTTGGAATTTCTAGCTTAGTGTTACCGGGTTGGAGTTCTGAGAGGGGCTGCCTGCTTAGCAGAAAGGCACTGGTTTTAGATGTGGAGGACTCGCCTGAGTTACCACCTTGCCAACACATGCCTTTACCTCCTGAGCAACCTTGTCTTCCCTCAGAACAACTTTTCACGCTTGAAAAAGACTGGATAATTTTATCCTAATCAGAAACAAGGTCAGAAACGGATATGTTTTTTTCGTGGGGGGTTCCATTCCACACTTAGCCATCTATCTACAGTTATAAATGCTGTGTCAAGAGACCTACCAAGAAGCAATAGTGTTGAATGAAGCCTTTTCCTCGCCAGCCGCTTTGGTTTTTCCCCACCAGTCGCCTGGGCTCTGCTGCCTTGTAGTCCCCAAATAACACACAAGATGCTGTATTAATTATGAAGCTGTTGGACTTGCTTGTTTCTTACTGGTTAGCTCTGACTTAAGTATTTACCCCATAATTGTTAATCTAAGTATTTGTCTTACCAGAGAAAAGGGTCTGGACTTCTTACCCCTATGGCAGCTACATGATGACTCCCTGTGTTTCTCCTTCCCAGAATCCTGCTCGACTCCTAGTCCCACCTATCTTACTTCCCTATTGGCTAACAGTGCTTTATTCAACAACCAATAAGAGACAGATTTACAGAATGGCATCCCCCATCACAATAGTATTAATGATGTTTGGAAACACCTGCAACAGAAACGGCAGACTTAGTGAATGAAGTCATTGGGTATCTAGGGTGGGATCGCAGGGACGTGGCTTTCTGTGACTGTGACTGATGGAATGATGTGTGGTACCGTGTGGTTTGCAGAGACAGCTCATGTTCTCCGTTCCTTCACTTCAGCATAAAGGTAGGGAGTGGGCATGGGAGATGCAGTGCTTTGGTTTCATTGTGTCGTCCTAGAGAGTTCTTGGGCCTTAGAGACTGAGCAGCCTTGGCTCATACCTCAGTTCTGCCTTCTACCGGGAAGATTATAAAGGGAGCATAATGTACTATTTGAGAGTATTATCTAGGGGGCTGGAGAGATGGCTCAGTGGTTAAGAGCAGTTCACTTAACAGAGTATTATCTACTGAAAATGTAGAACATTCCATTGAATATGGCTGAAGACTTAAGACATTAAATGATACCACTTAAAAAGAAGTCTAAAGTTTGCTACTCCAAAGCCAATGCAGCAGTCCAGAAACATAATCAAGGGTCCTGAGCAAAGATAATGGCTTTTCATTGTCATGTGATCAAGAGCTGGCCCCAAGATCACCACTGAGCTTAAAAATACTGCCTGGCACATAACTGTAGCCAGTGCAGACAGGCAAGGAGTGGGACAGCAGGACTTTCCCCTTACAAAGACTTGACCTTTCTTAATCTATCTATGTATCTATGCATCTATGTATCTATGTATCTATGTATCTCTGTATCTCTGTATCTCTGTATCTCTGTATCTCTGTATCTATCTATCTATCTATCTATCTATCTATCTATCTATCTATCTATCTATCTATCTAATTCTGTGGCTCTGGGAATTGAATGCAGAGTCCTGCACTTACTGGCTTGGTTCTTCATGTGTGAAGAATTTCCTCTGCCAAGTTTCTCCTGGGTCACATTGGCTAGTATCCAGCCACTTCTGCTCATACAGCCACACCTACCAACTACTGCTGTAGCGTGTGGTTGAACTGGGGTTGTCCACTAAGATCTTTAGGATCTCTCTGCTACAGGTCAAATCCATCTTGTGGGGATAGAAGCAGGAGCCGTTTGGGAGGATCATGAAATGGCTAGCATTTTGCCTGCCTTACCCCGAGCATGCATTAAATGCTATCATTATCATGACTGCCTTTTAGCTACCAGAAAATTCCCACAATCTTTTATTTTACTGAAAACATAACTGTATAGTAATCAGTAAATCAAGCTCATGACTGTACTTTCAATTTATTTACATTTGTAGCATTCCTCAATGCTTCTGTATAAGCTGAATAAAACTTTCAAAAGAAGTTTATTAAATCATATCTATCAAATGACTACACTGGGCTTTAATTGAAATGATTTTGCATAAATTGGTTGTTTTCAGGTTTTTCACTAGTGTAAGTTCATACCTGTAAACTATTTTCTGTATTTGTACTGGTAACTTAAGATAGATTCTTAAATGGCATCATTTGGTCATTTCTCCCTGGTCCACCGGTAAACCATGTTCCCAATCTTCTATGTATCTAGGTGTGGCCAGTGGTCTAATTCTTGATGGTAGGATGTGGGCATACTTGCTGCATTTCGCTCTGTGGCCTCATCACACACCTTTAGAACATTCCCCCTCTTTCCTTGGTGGTCTATGCCTGGTTGGCTGCGGGGAAAAGAAGGCAGAACGTGGGGTAGCCTGGACCCTGAATGTGTGCTCCATCTCCTCTATGCAACTGGTGAGGTCTGACAAGAGCAAGAGATGATTCTGCTGTGCTAAACCAGAGGAGAAGGGAAGTTACTTGAAACAGCGGTTACAACCAGTACAGAGATGAAGGCCTGGAGATGCAAACCACTACCACAAATAAAGCATAAAGATCCTTTTATTTATATTGCTTCCTGAGTAAGTGTTCCCAAATGAAAGAACATCAAAGTAGTTGAGATAATAAATGGATTATGAACACAGGCAGAAGACAAATACGCCAAGGTAAATTGCCTGGGTCAATCCATACTATATGTTAATATCAATTAATAAAATTATTTACCTCAGTAATTGCTAAATTGGCAGGCAATACCATGTATTTTCATCACTTTAGATTGAGGCCATCAGGTAATTAGTCAATAAATTAATTTTAAATATTGTTATGGGTTTCCATGTTTGCGGCACATAGTTGGCAGCCAATCTGGGAGATGGTAGGTAGCCCTTTAATTAATCGTCCTCTGTATCCACAGAATTCACTTCATAAAGTTTCATTTGGTTTTCTTCCAGTATAGGAGATGGTTTTATTTATTTTTCTTTCTTTTATTTATTTATTTAAATTAGAAACAAGCTTGTTTTACATGTCAATCCCAGTTTCCTCTCCCCCCTCCTCCCCTGCCCCCACCGACCCTATCCCATCCCCTTTCTGTTCCTCAGGGAGGGGAGGCCTTCCATGGGGATCTTCAAAGTCTGTCATATCATTTGGAGCAGGGCCTAGACCTTCCCCTGTGTGTCTAGGCTGAGAGAGTATCCCTCCATGTAGAGTGGGCTCCCAAAGTCCATTTGTATGCCAGGGATAAATACTGAGCCACTACTAGAGGCCCCAAAGATTAACCAGACTTCCAAACTAACATCCTCGTTCAGGGGGTCTGGAACAGTCCTATGCTGGTTTCCCAGCTATCAGTCTGAGGTCCATGAGCTCCCCCTTGTTCAGGTCAGCTGTTTCTGTGGGTTTCTTCAGCCTGGTCTTGACCCCTTTGCTCATCACTCCTCCCTCTCTACAACTGGATTCCAGAGTTCAGCTCAGTGTTTAGCTGTGGGTGTCTGCTTCTGCTTTCATCAGCTACTGGAAGAAGGTTCTAGGATAGAAGTAGTCATCAATCTCATTATCGGAGAAGGGCTTTTAAGGTAGCCTCTCCTCTATTGCTTAGATTGTTAGTTGGGATCAACCATGTAGATCTCTGGACATATCCCTCGTGCCAGATTTCTCTTTAAGTCTATAATGGCTCCTTCTATTATGGTATCTCTTTTCTTTTTCTCCTCTATTCTTCCCCTGACTCGATCTTCCTGCTCTCTCCTGTCCTCCTCTCCCCTCCTCTTCTGCCCTTCTCTTTCTTCTAACTCCCTCTCCCCTCCCCCATACTCCCAATCTGCTCAGGAGATCTTGTCCCTGTCCCCTTCTGGGGGGGGGCATGCATGTCTCTTTTAGGGCCCTCCTTGTTTCCTAGCTTCTCTGGCAGTGTGGATTGTAGGCTGCTACTCCTTTGCTCTAGGTCTAAACTCCATACATGAGTGAGTACATACCATTTTTGTTTTTGTGTGACTGGGATACCTCACTCAGGATGGTTTCTTCTAGTTCCATCCATTTGCCTGAAAATTTCAATATTCCATGTTTTTTTCCCTGCTGAGTAGTACTCCATTGTGTAAATGTACCACATTTTCTCCATCCATTCTTCAGTTGAGGGACATCTAGGTTGCTTCCAGGTTCTAGCGATTACAAATAATGCTGCTATGAACATGGTTGAACAGATGTCGTTGTTGTATAAATATGCATCTTTTGGGTATATGCCTAAGAGTGGAATGGCTGGGTCTTGTGGTAGATTGATTCCCATTTTCCTGAGGAATCTCCATACTGATTTCCAAAGTGACTGTACAAGTCTGCACTCTCACCAGCAATGGAGGAGTGTTCTCCTCTCTCCACATCTTATCCAGCATAAACTGTCATTGGTGTTTTTTATTTTAGCCATTCTTATAGGTATCTCAGAGTTGTTTTGATTTGCATTTCTCTAATGGCTAAGGATGTTGAACACTTTCTTATGTGTCTTTCAGCCATTTTAGATTCCTCTATTGAGAATTCTTTATTTAGCTCTGTACCTCACTTTTTAATTAGATTATTTGGTGTTTTGGTGACTAGCTTCTTGAGTTCTTTGTATGTTTTGGAAATCAGCCCTCTGTCTGATGTGAGGTTGGTGAATATCTTTTCCCATTCTGTGGGCTGCCTTTTTGTCTTGTTACTTTGCCTTATAGAAGCTTCTCAATTTCAGGAGGTCCCATTTATTAATTGTAGATCTCAGTGTCTGTGCTACTGGAATTATGTTCAGGAAGTGGTCTCCTGTACCAATTCATTGGAGGGTACCACCTACCTTCTCTTCTAAGAGGTTCAGTGTGGCTGGATTTATGTTGAGGTCTTTGATCCATTTGGACTTAAGTTTTGTGCATGGTGATAGACATGGATCTATCTGCAGTCTTCTACATGCCAGACTCCAGTTATACCATCACCATTTGTTGAAGATACTTTCTTTTTTTCATTGTATAATTTTTAGCTTCTTTGTCAAAATCAAGTGTTTGTGGGTGTGAGAGTTAATATCAGGGTTTTCAATTCAATTCCATTGGTCTACCTGTCTACTTTTGTGCCAATACCAAGCTGTTTTCAGGACTACAGCTCTATAATAGAGCTTGAAGTCAGGGATGGTGATGCCTCCGGAAGTTCCTTTGTTGAACAGTGTTATTTTGGCTATCCTGGGTCTTTTGTTTTTCCATAAAAAGTTGAGGATTGCTCTTTCAAGGTCTGTGAAGAATTGTGCTGGAATTTTAATGGGGATTGAATGCATCTGTAGATTGCTTTTGGCAGGATTGCCATGTTTACTATGTTGATCCTACCTATCCAAGAGCATGGGAGATCTTTCCATTTTCTGGTATCGTCTTTAATTTCTTTCTTTTAAAGACTCAAAAGTTCATACGATATAGGTCTTTCA